CAGTGTCATTCTTCACAACACATCAGTGTCACTCTTCACAACACATCAGTGTCACTCTTCACAACACATCAGTGTCACTCTTCACAACACATCAGTGTCATTCTTCATAACACATCAGTGTCACTCTTCACAACACACCAGCATCACTCTTCACAACACATCAGTGTCATTCTTCACAACACATCAGTGTCACTCTTCACAACACATCAGTGTCACTCTTCACAACACATCAGTGTCACTCTTCACAACACATCAGTGTCACTCTTCAGATAATGTAGCTTAACGAATTGAAATGAATTAACTGGAAAGATTAGGTCGTGGAGAGGTCTGACATTGTGTGAACTCACCTAGTTGTACTCACCTAGTTGTACTCACCTAGTTGTACTCACCTAGTTGTACTCACCTAGTTGAGGTTGCAGGGGTCTATACTCAGCTCCTGGCCCCGCCTCTTCACTGAGCGCTGCTAGGTCCTCTCTCTCCCTGCTCCATGAACTTTATCATACCTCGTCTTAAAGCTATGTATGGTTCCTGCCTCCACTACATCACTCGGCAGACTGTTCCACTTCTTGTGTGTGTGTGTTTGTGTGTGTGTGTGTGTGTGTGGTGTGTGTGTGTGTGTGTGTGTGTGTGTGTGTGTGTGTGTGTGTGTGTGTGTGTGTTACTAAAAAGTACACATTTTATTTCTGTTGCTGTCCAAACCTATATGAGCAATGTATCCCCAAAATTTGGAAATTAGTCATCTAGAATTATTGAAAGTAACTGTTGTGTACAATAATCTCTCTGCAGACCTAACTGAAGAAGAACTTGATGTGTTTCGGTCTGTGCAGTCCGTAACTCATATCCCCAGAGTTTTTTACCTGAGCCCTAATACAAACCAAGTTCTCGGTATGTTAACTCACGCAAAGGGTCTAGTAGCTGTACCTCAATGGCCTTCATAAGCAAAAAAAAAAAAAAAAGAAAGAAAGCTGTAGTTCAACTTTCTCAAGAGGTCTAGGATCCAGTGAAAAAGATTTCATCAGGAACGCACTTCAAACCCATAGTTCCTGTAGCTTATCACCCGCAAGAGGACCCAGGTCGTGGCTTGGTTGATAGAGTCCTGGGTTCACACACTCATGTCCGGGATCGTTGGGCATGTTTCCTTTCACCTACCAGTACCTTTCACCTACCAGTACCTTTCACCTACCAGTACCTTTCACCTACTAGTACCTTTCACCTACTAGTTCCTTTCACTTACTTGCACCTTTCACCTACTAGTACCTTTCACCTACTAGTTCCTTTCACCTACCAGTAAGTAGATACCTGAGTATTAGCCGACTGTTGTGGGTCGCATTATTATTATTTTATTGTTATTAAAGATTCGCCGGTATTCTCCCGGCCCGGGCCTTTTCCAAGTGGTGGCCCGGCCTTGGCTCCCTCTTTAGGGAGTATCTGAGACCTAAGTCTCCCATGGGAGGAGGCACAAGTACCTCCTCATCTTCGGGACCAACTGGTCCCAGACCTAGCCACAAGCTAGGCCTCTCTGGTCTGACATCCCCGCCCCAAGGGGGCTAATGGGAATGACAGTCTTGTGAGCTACAAGCTCTGGCTCAGGCACCTACCCTACCCTAGAAGGGCTGGGTATAGTGTCGATTTGTGGGTCGCATCCTGAAGAACAAGATTAACCAAAGTTGCTCGAAATATTCTGCATAACCAGGGATTTTCTATATAATATGGCAATGATGCCAGCTAAATCTGCAATATAGGTTATTATTATTATTATTATTATTATTATTATTATGTTTCAAAGAATGCTCCTTGATGCCGAATTCATGATCGAGGGTAGTGGAGCTGCTCTTCTTTTCCTTGGCTTAAATTTTATTACCTATTTACACCAAGCATTGTGTGAGCCCTACAAGTTTAGTGCTTCTTCGTTTAAATATCAATAATAATAAGAAGAAAAAAGAAGTAAACTCAATGAAAGTTGGTGTGGATGTTTTTACTGCTTGGTCTCTCAGACTAACAGACTTCGTCAGTTGATTAGGGAAATCTACTATGTGCAGTCAAGAGTGACAGGGAAATATATTTTCTTTCCCCTCGGTAACTATCACATGGAACAGGGAAGCAACACACTGCTAAATGTTCCAGTGTTGTATAATACAAAAAGTATAAGCCATCGAGATTTGTTTTCCAGGAAGAGGAGGAGGAAGAGGAAGAGTAGGAGGGGAGTCATACATATTAAATCTCACGCCATTTATGCTGCATAGAAGAGATGGGACTTACACAGATGACAGCAAGGAAATGAGTAAGTAACTAAAGTCCCAGTATGTCTCGGTATTCAGTGAGCCGCTAACCAGACTAAGAGTCGACAACCTAAATTATTTTTTCATGGCCGAGACACAGAATTTGGTCAGTTCAAACATCTCTGATATTATCCTAACACCAAATGACTTCGAGAAGGCAATAAATGACATGCCTATGCACTCTGTGTTAATCAAGAACTGCAAGAAGCCTATGTCACGTTCCTTTAGCTTTCTATGGAGACAAAGCATGGACACAGGGGTCATTTCACAGTCACTAAAAACAACAGACATGGCCCCACTCCACAAAGTTGGCAGTAAAGCAGCAGCAAGGAATTACAGACCGATAGCGCTAATGTCCCATTTCATAAAAATATATGCCCAGCTGGGT